ATGCATCTGAGCTGCCATGCCTGGCCAGGCTTGTTAGAGGGGGTCTGCAGTCTGTAGATGGCTGCCTGGTTGTCTGCATGGATCCTGATCTCCTGGAAGGGGGAGGCCACTGTGGCAGCATACTCAAAAGCTCTGGTGATGCCTTCCAGCTCTCCATTGTACACAATCTGGCCCTTGCCAATGTTGAGTGTCTCCTGATAGACCTCACTGGCACCCTGAGCAAAGTCCACTGCTGTCAGACCAACTCCAATGCCAGTCCCACCTTGCACTGAAGAGGCATCTGAGTAGATGGCCAGCAGGCTGTCTCCAAGTCTGGTAGACATGTATGCAGTGTGAGCCTTGGCCTCCTGGTCCTTGGGCAGCTGGGAGAGAGTGACAGTGTAGGGCATGTCCTTGTTCCATGGGAGGAAGTGGTGTGGAATGAGCTTCTCCTCTGGAGCAGAGAGAGCAGTCTGGATAGACTGGACTATCCTCCTGAGCTGGGTAGGAGGGCCTTTGGACATCCTGTTGCTGTGGTCCAGGTCCTCTGAGTCCATGTCAGAGTCAGGGTGGAGAGCTGTGTCCAACTGCTGAATGGCCTCCTTGACAGGGTGGTTGGAAGGGAGCTTCCTTGCTCTGAGAGCATACTGCCTGATGGCAGTGTTGAGCCTGATGGCTGGGGGAGGCAGGGCTGCTTCCACCTCAGAGGGAGCAGTGGGAGAAGTGCGAAAAGTGCCCAGTATCTTCCTGAGGGCCATGTTCTGGAGAGCCTGGAGCTGCTTCTTGGTAGAAGCCTGGCCTTTCCAGTGGATCTGGCATCCAAAGTCCGCCACACTGATGACACAGGCCATGTACAGCTGTCTGACAGCAAAGGGAGAGAGACCTCTCTCACTGTTGGCAAGCCTGCACAACTGGTAAAATGCAGACCTGGGATCCTCCAGGGAGACCACCATGCTTTGGAACAGCAGCTTGACCTTCTGGGTGAACAGCTCACCAGTGCCATTTCACAGGCAGCCTCTGCTTCTATCCCTCTTACCAGACTTGGGCCCAAGTCAAAGCCATGGTGGGATCACAACCTTCACTCTCTGAGAACTGATATGCTGCACAAACAGCGTGTTTTCCAGAGAAACATGGCGGTCACCTCCATTGCAGAGGCCTTCCTGTGGAAGAAAGACTATCTCCTGGCCAGGAACACCTACTTCCAAGCAATCAAGACAGCAAAGCACACCCACTGGAACCAGTTCTTGGAGAAGGAGGACCCCAAGTCCATCTTCAAGGCCATGTCATACACCAAACCCTCCAGCAGCCAGCAGATACCTCTCATCCAGACTGCTTCAGGCAGCCTTGCTGACACCTTCTCTGGCAAGTGCTCAGCCTTCAGGAACACTCT